CACCCTCCAATCCTTGCCATGTGGGCCACTCTAAGCTGGCAGCTTGCTGCACCAAACCGTGCAAGCCAAGAAGACGACAGTCTGCTGGCAACATGGAAGGAAGCAGCTCTTTGTCACCCAATCTCAGATGCAACATCTTTCACCGTTGCCTTAATGTGTCTCGAAGAAGTAAGCCACAGACTTCACCCTCACTCAAGGGACGCCGGGAGGTAGGAGCCTGAGACGATCTTAGAAATCTTACAGTCACACACAGGATCCCACCAGTGGCCTCTGAGCAGAGGGGGACATATTCTGATACATATTTTCATTGGCCACTTTGGCTTCCTTGCGTATTGGAAGCATGAGTTGGGAGTTGGGCAGGAGTAGACAACAGATGGCAGTTAGAGCGTTACATGGCTTGGGTACGGATCTTGCGGGTGGATAGAAGATGAAGAGGGATGGAGAGGAAGTGGGGATGGGTAGCACCAGGGCTTGCTGGGATATATCTTGCCTACAGGGTGAGGATGCCTGGGACTCTCGCTTTTCCCTGGAACAGATAGGATGCCATTAACTCCATTCTTCTCCAGCCCTGCCTAAGGCCACACATTAGATGGATGGTTGGCTGGCATTAGGGGCGCTAGCCCCAAGCGAAGAACACACATCTCCTTGTGCCAGGCCAATGGACTACCCCCATGTCCTGAGTCTCGTTAATTTGCTCATAGTCAGAATAACCAAGCTACTGAGCAAAGTGGGGGAATACTGCACACTGACTCTACAAGCCAGCCAGAGTTGGAAAAGTGGGATGTGTGTGTGTGTGTGTGTGTGTGTGTGTGTGTGTGTGTGTGAGACATAGCACCCCCTGGTGCTGGTGCAGAAGAGTGGGGAGTTGAGATTAGCCCTTTAGTAGGGGACACAGACACAGAGGAGAGTATGCTCTCATCCCTGGGGACAAGGGGATGTCCTCATACCTCCTGCCTAGCCAGCCAGGCACTGATTAAAAAGTGATTCACACCAGTAATCCAAATGACATCACCAAATGCCAGCCACATTTTTTACGATTCCAACATAGCCTTTGACATACTGGCATCATCTTGCTTGGGAGTCAAGGCCTGGGACTTTGGCTAATTAAGATGTCAGTGTGGCAACAAAAGGGGAACGCCTAGCTGCTAGATTGGTTTTGCTCTCAGGACCCTGGCCCTACTTCGGGCCTTCTCAGGGGATTTCCATGTATACAGCTCACCGAGACCTCATCTCCTGGATAACTGGCAAAGATGGGAAAAGGGCCAGACAGGAAGATCTCTGAATGAAGATCGGAAAGCACGGGGAGTCCTGGGGATTTTTAAAGTGGAGAAAGGGAGGATGGGCAGGCAGAATAGGACCTTAAAATTTATATTTATTTGGAGCTGGAGAGATGACTCGGGAGTTAAGAGCACTGGCTGCTCTTCTGGAGGACCTAGGTTCGATTCCCAGCACCCACATGATGGCTCACAACCATCTGTTATCTAGTCCCAGGGGAGTCAACCATTCTTTCGACTTTTCGTGGGCCAGTGTGTATGAGTACAGGTGTGTGTGTGGGCACAGTTGGAGGTCAGAGGACAACTTGTAGCAGTTGCCTCTCTCCTTCCACCATGTAGGTTCCAGGGGTCAAACTCAGTTCATCAAAAGCACCTTTACCCACTGAGCCATCTCAACAACCTGAAACTCAGGTTTTTAAAAAACATCCATCAGGATACCCAATACAAAATATTGGGTATTTTATACCCCATCTAGAGTCTCTTGAATAGGAATCATGACATGTTGCCTTTGAGAATAAACACAGGAGCATTTCTGGCAGGCAGATAGTCTAGAAGCTTCTCCAGGCTTCTTTACCTGCACTTTGACCTCTCCCTAAGAGGTTTCGTCCTAAGTGGGCACAGCAAGCATGGGTGAGTGGCACAGGTGTGGACCCACAGTGCCTGTGTTCTATTTCCAGCTCGTATCTCTGACTCACAGAACGACCTTGCTGAGGTCACGGCTTTGTGTTACTTGCAAGGGGAAGAAATAGCAGGGGTGGCAAAGCTTTCCTTTCCCCAAGGAACAAGAGTCCTGAAGCTCAAGGGCCTCCTGATCTTCATGAGCCTCAACTATGCTGTGCTGATATTAATTCAAAAACAAAAACATCCAGTTAGATTTGGATCCCAGGGACTTTGGGAGGCAGTCAAAGCAAGAAGCAAGGAGTTCCCGAAAGGGAGATTTGTGGCCACTTTTCCATGCATGACTTCTGCAACATTTTCCAAGTCACGTTGCGTGCAAATAATTCCCCTCATGCCCTCATGCTGTCTGCGCAAGGGTAGAGGAAGCATTTCCTCTTCATTTCAGGACACGGGAGTCACAGCTATGGAGAGGCCTTTCTCAGCTGTTTCGTTTCCGGAAACACCCTGCATTATTTCGCTATCAAGCCTGGCCTGTTTTGTGGGCCTTTATTGGCTAAATACTGTATATGCATTAGGTAGAAAGTACTGTTTTTGTTGATCAAAGTCACCCATGAGTGAGTGCCATGTTTATTTACCCTTGGTGTCCTTTTTCTAGATAAGAGCTTACTGCTCACCAGGCTAAATTTTAACAGAAAAGGTCTGGAAAGGTTTCAGAAAGACAAAGGAACCTGCCCTATAACTCTGTGGTCAGTGGTAGGCCAGGATCAGAGGGGGTGGGGGTGGGATGGGTGGGGTGGGGGGGAGAGATGAGACTCTGACTCACAGTGCAGAGCTGCAGCCAATCAGATCCCTTGGCAGGACGACGCCTGTGAACACTTAGACCCGCACGTACAAGGGTGGGCAAAATGGCATCCCAGTCAACCAAGTGTCCCGAGACAAAAATGCTCAGAGCTCCAACAGGGTCTGCGGTATTGCGCAGCCCTGGTGAGAACAGTCCAAACAGAGCCTGATGCGGAAGCGGGCAGCATCTCTCTTTTCAGGGGGCTCTTGCAGACTTTCGGGTAGTGGCACACGCTTACTCTGGCCGCCTGCTTCCATCTTCAACAGCACACCACCAGTGTGGCTAAGGCACCTTCACCTACCCAGGTCTTTCCCATCCCATACTGCCTCTTTAAGAGGCAGAGACCCTGAACCTGGGGATTGCAAGGGCATTCTGGGACCTCCGGAGAGAGTGGGATCTGGCTTGGTGGTATGGGTGTGTGCAGGGGGAGGAGTTACTGAGGGGACCCAATACTCAGCCCCTCTGGGAACTCAAGCAAGCATTATCCTCTTGGGCCTTTGGCTCCATCCCAAAGGCTTGATTGCCTGATCCCTGGCTCAGAGGTACCAACTGGATTCCAAACTGGAAAAAGAGGTCATCCAACTCCCTTCCAAACTGGGAAAAATATATCCAGACTTAGCTCTGGAGCTTCGGAATAACTGGCTCCACCAATCCCCTGCAGAGCTAGGGCTGGGGCAGAGGCCATGGGGGGCATGTAGTGGACAGCTGTTCCCTGAGTTATTCTGGGCCAGGGGCTGAGCTTTTCAGTCACAGGGTATTGGGATTAAAATAGCCACCTGCGCGGCAATTTCCTTGTAGCTCCGTGGGGGCTTTCCAAAAGAAAAGAGTCAAAGCCCGGGTGGGGAGGGTGACTTGAGGAATGACAAGGTAGGAATTCTACCACGGTCTAAGACCAGCCTCACCTCTGTGGAGCTCTAAGCCTTGGCATCTCTCTGACCAGATCACTTTCCTCGGGTATCAAAATGATGGGGAACGGAAAGAGTTGGTAACTCCCGAACTCTGCTTCTGACCTTCCTCAGTCCTCAGCTACCTTCCCCATTTCACAGATAGTGTCACAGGAGTTCAGGGGGTCTAGGAGGCTCTGGCCTCAGGTCACCCAACTCCCTTCCAAACTGCCCCAATGCCTCTTGCCTGAGCCTTGCTCAGAGCCCCAGTAGATTCACGCTGGGAGGATAATCAGTTCCATCCCCAAGCTCAGGACCAGCATGGAAAACGCTGACTGACCCGGGTCATCTTTCCAGTCACAGCAGAACTGGCAGCTAGCTACCCGCCAGGCTCACACCCTCCTCCAGAGGAGGTGGACCAAAGGCAGGTGGGAGGAAGGAGGGAAGCCCAGTCGTCCTGGAGCCTAGCCCGTACCTCAGATTCGCAACCCCAGACGGGGACTTGACAGCCTGCGGGCATTGTCCATGACTTGGAGCTAGAGTGACAGGGGCCCCTTTGGCAGAGATTAGGGTGGAGCTGCGGGCGCATGCCCCAGACACGCCCTATGAAAATCACTCCAGGGAACGGTCACCGAACTTAGTCTTGAACACCGCTGGCCAGGTCCGTGCGACAGGTTCCACTTCCCCGCCCGAGTGGGGTCTCGCTGGGCTCCCTCCGTGATCACCACCTATGCCTTGGAATGTTCCAGAGGGTCAATTTCCTGTGCGGGTGAATTCGGCGCCCAGCGCCTCTCCTCTGCCTCCTCCCTCCCTGCTGCCCGGACACCCCAGGTCGCTCTGTCCCCGCCACACTCTCATCGCCCCCGCGCGCCCGGGAGCATTCTCCCCGCCCCGCGCCGCTGCCCTAGGGCTCCCGGCGCCCCGCAGCCAGGGCCCCGCTACGCCTGCTTCGCCCCACG